TCCCTCCACCCCCCAACTCACGCCCCCTGGCCACCAAAAAAAGGCAAATAAAGATCAAGAATAAATGAGATATAATCAACAACAATAATAACAATACTGACAACAAAAACAACAATAACAATACTCAGAATTATAAACTGTAAACCCCAAAGCCTCAAAACCCTCAACGAAACCCCCAAACCCCCCAACTTCAAACCCTCAGCCCCCAAAACCATCAACTTCAAACCGCAAGACCCCCTCCCCCCCCCCCCCCCCCCCCCCAAACCCAACACTTCAAACTCACAAGCCCAAGCGACAAAACCCCTAAACTCCTAAACGCCTGAACCCCGAACCCCGAACTGGGATAGGTTTGGGGCCCCATTTGTTTGTTTATGGCATTCCAGGGATTATATAGGATTAAGGGCAACAAAAAGAATGAAAACAAACATGTTCAAACCCAGCCCTGACGAACCCCCCAAAACCCTAAGTCCCAGGGCCGGCCACCTCACCCCCTTGGCGCGTCTCGCGCTGCTCGGTCGCCTCACCGGCACCTGATTTGCTCTTTGGGGTTTGGGGTTGCGGGCTGAAGATTTTTAGGAACTTCTGAACCCTTGCAAGCCCAAAGGGCCCGCTTCCGAACCCTAATATGTCAAAACCCTAAGCCCTACATCCTAAACCCGAACACCTAAACTGCCCTGGCAAGGGGCCTAGAAGTGTCACGGCCTTCGGCATTTCTAGGGCAAGGGACATGTTGTCCTCCAAGTTTAGGGGCTTAGGGTTTAGGGCTAGAATGCAAACTCTAGACTCGACAACCCTAACACGAACCCTAAACCCTCAACCCTGAAACTTAGACTCATTGCTGCAGCAGCTGCCAACACGGGTGAGGTTGCACCGGGCATCGATTGCCAAGGAAGGGCTTGGCGACAGCTGCTCCTGACCACGGTTTAGGGCTTGGGGTTTAGGGCTTAGGGTTTAGGGAGGCTTAGGATTTACAGGGTTTTGGGCTTCTGGTAGAAGGGTTTCGGGTTTTATGGCTTAGGGTGTAGGCCTTTGGGTGCAGAATTGCTGTTGTTCTGATGTTTTCGTTTAAATCAGGGAACCCGCGCCCTTCAACAAAGGGGATGAAAGCTCGCTCTTGGTCAAAGATTATGTACTTGTGTACATGCCTCAGACATACATGCATACGTACGTGCGGTACATACATGCAAGACCCCAAAACACCGGCCCCAAAACCGATGCTAAACCCTATAAACCCTATACCCCAAACCCTAAACCCTAAACCTAAACCCCTCATCGTGCCATCTCTTTATTCCCTGAACTCCTGAAGCCCTAAAGCCAAGAAACCTAAGCCCCTAAATCCTAAGCCCACTACAGCCCCAAAGCCTACCCTCACAAATACTGTACCCTGAACTGAAAGCCCCAGCTGACTGTTCTAAACCCTACACCGTAAACCCTAAACCCAAAATTTGGCCCTAAACCCTAAACCCTAAACCCTAAACCCTAAACCCTAAACCCTAAACCCCCAACCCCAAACCCCAAACCCCAAACCCCAAACCCCAAACCCCAAACCCCAAACCCCAAACCCTAGCCTCCAGCTCAGCCCTCGCCTCCTGGGCGGCCTGGCCAAGTTGGGGAAGCAGGTCTTCATGGGCGGCTGAAGGGTTTAGGGTCTCGGGTTTAGGATTTGAGGTACAGGGGGGAGCGGGGTGGCAAGAGGGCATATTTAACGTATTTTGTCGCTTGTTGCTTTGCTTTGTGTTTTTCGGGCAGGGTTCAGGGTTTTGGGTTTAGGGTTTAGGGTTCAGGGTTTAGGGTTTGCGGTTTAGGGTTTCGGGTTTAGGATTTGAGGTACATGGGGGAGCGGGGTGGCAAGGGGGCATATTTAAAGCATTTTGTCGCTTGTTGCTTTGCTTTGTGTTTTTTTTCGGGCAGGGTTTAGGGTTTAGGGTCTAGGGTCTATAGGGTCTAGGGTCTAGGGTCTAGGGTCTAGGGTCTAGGGTTTAGGGTTTAGGGTTTAGGGTTTAGGGTTTAGGGTTTAGGGTTTAGGGTTTAGGGTTTAGGGTTTAGGGTTTAGGGTTTAGGGTTTAGGGTTGAGGGTTGAGGGTTTTTGTTGGCTTGCGGGGTGGCTTTGGGAACTTGGGGGCTGGAGGATTGAGAGGTTGGGGTTTTGGGCGAGTGGTATTAGCCGAAGCAACAAAACAGGGTCTAGGGTTTAGGGTTTAGGGTTTAGGGTTTAGGGTTTAGGGTTTAGGGTTTAGGGGTTAGGGGTTCAGGGTTTAGGGGTTTAGGGTTTAGGGGAATCCGCCCTCCTTGCTGTACTAAGGGGAAAGCTTCCTGAAAAGTTGTTCAAGCAGGGTTTAGGGTTTAGGGTTTAGGGTTTAGGGTTTAGGGTTTAGGGTTAGGGTTTAGGGTTTACGTTTTAGGGTTTAGGGTTTGAATTTTAGGGTTGAGGGTTTAGGGTTACAGCTTCTGGGGCTGGGGGAGGCCCTCTCCCAAGGCCAATGTCCCGAGTTCAGGGTTGCGGGTTCAGGGTTCTTAAGAACCCTCAACCCTAAACCCTAAACCCTAAACCCTAAACTCTAAACAGCCTAAACCCCAAACCTTAAACCCGAAGCCCCAAATCCTAAACTCCAGATCACTTTACCGGAGCCACGGAGCGTCCTCCCTGAACCCACCCTAAGGGTCCATGTACCTATCTGGTATATACTTGGGCCTTAAAGGGGTTCCCATATAGTAGCTTTAGGGCCCAAGGATAAAAAAAAATGGGAACATGGACCCTTAGGGCCAGAATCGCGGTCCTTTGCGATCTCCTTCCCCTCCTCCTGGCAGGGCACGGTGCGTCATGAACAGAGGCTTCGGTGCTTGCAGATGTCCGCCAGCACCACTTGGGTTTAGGGTTTAGGGTTTAGGGTTCAGGGTTCAGGGTTTAGGGTTCAGGGTTTAGGGGTCAGGGTTTAGGGTAAACCCCAAACCCTAAACCCTAAACCCTGTAATCCCCTCTGAATGCCAAATCCCAAGGCCGAAATACACCTAAGCCTCAAACCCCAACACCCCCTTATGCGGCAAGCCAAGGAGTCAAAGATGTTAGGGGGGACCCCGCAATCCCCAAGCCCAGAAAGGAGACCATAGAAACCCTAAATCCTCTGCATCGTACCCCCTAAACCCTAAACGCTAAACCCTAAACCCTAAACCCCAAACCCTAAACCCTAAACCCTAAACCCCCTACACCCGAAACCCGAGCCCCCGAGCCTCTACCAGCTTCTGGAATGGCAAACTTCTGGTCGGAAGCGTGGCGAGGACCTACGCAAAGGTGCTCGTCTACTTGAAGGTTCATGGGTGCTTTTAAGTAGGGTTTAGGGTTTAGGATTTAGGGTTTAGGGTTTAGGGTTTAGGGCTAGAACTACTTTGAATGGAGTTATTAAGGAATTGTAACCGAGTTGCCCTCCTTACCATGAATTTCTGGGTGGAACGAGGAGCCATCTTCAGACAAAAGAAGGTTAGGGTTTAGGGTTTAGGGTTTTGGGTTCAGGGTTTCTTTCAAAAGGCGGTCTGTAGGGGCTGATGGTCGACGGCAGTTAACCTTGTGTTTGTGAAGATTCTAGACCTCAGAGGCTAGCAATAGTTGCCTACGTGTTCATGTATGGTCACATTGTTTTCTTTTTGTTTGCGACTAGGTTTAAGTCTCTGGGGCCACTCTAAACCCTCTAATTTCTTGCAAGAAACGAGAACCGACCCAACCCTATACCCTAAACCCTAAACCCAATACCCAAAACCCTAAACCCTAGGCACTAAGGCACTGGTGGATATAGCAGCCGGTCGGAGAGTAGAGGTCAGTATTGTGGACGACGTCGACTGATGATCTTCTAGGGGCAGAAGCCCTGAACCCCCTAAACCCTAAACCCTAAACCCTAAACCCTAAACCCTAAACCCTAAACCCTAAACCCTAAACCCTAAACCCTAAACCCTATAACCCTAAACCCTAAACCCTAGCAGGGATTGGGTGTTGAGGAGGGCCGTTAGTGTGACAGTCGCGTTGCTCGGGGCGGGCGCTGAAGTTTCACCAACAAGTTCGGGTTTGGGGTTGAGGGTTGTTGAGGGTTGCTGAGGGTTTAGGGCTTAGGGTTTAGGGTTTAGGTTTTAGGGTTTAGGGCTTCCTGGGGTTTAGGATTTCCCATGTTTTAGGGTTTATGGTTTAGGGCTTAAGGTGTGGAGGGGGGGTGGGGGGGTTCGGGCATAGGGCTTATACTGCGCAGTTACAGTCTAGGGTTTTCTGAACCCTACACCCTAAACCCTAGACCCAAAACCCAAAACTTTGTGGTTCTCTGTTGACTTTAGACCCTGCATTGGTTTTAGCACCGCTGCAAGAGCCACATCGCATAGCTTTCTTTTTGCAACGTTTGTGAAATGTTGGTTTAGGGTTTAGGATTTAGGGCTTAGGGTTTAGCGTTTAGGGTTTAGGGTGTTGGTCTTTGGAGACGGCTGCAGATCATCGCCAGTCACTTTTGCTGATCGCCGCGTAGTGTTGCAGCGGGATAGGCTGCGAAGGCAAGCGCCCGTACTAGCTCCTCCCCGGCGCAACGATCAACTGATCTTGGTCTGCCAGATTGGGGTCGTTCGCCTGAGGTTTTGGATTTCAGGGCGCAGGGCAGAAGAGTGCATTTGGGGCTTCGGGTGTCTTACGCCTGCACACCGAGGGAACCGCCATTTTACGGTCTGGGATCAGGGTTGAGGGATTAGGGGGGGTTAAGTTTAGTGTCTATATCCCTCCCCGATAAAAATGGCCACTGGAGAGCCCTTCAAGCCCCCAAAAAGATTTGGCGTGTAGAGTTTCGGGTTTAGGTTCGTTTGGTGAGTGACCCTAACTAAGCCCTAAACCCGAAACCCCAAACAGCACGTTCAACATGACAACTTGTGTGCATCTCGTCTGCATGGCCCCTAGAAAGCCCAAGCAAATGACTCCAACGCTACAGCAGCTACGACATACGGGTCTCTGGGAGCTTTCTCAATGAATTGGAAGGTTCTCATGTGGACTGTGCGTAAGCAACAGAAACTGAAACCTTGTTGCAAGACACTTCGTCCGCCAGATTGGTGCCATTATCGAAAGTGTCGCCGTATCCTGAATGGCCCCGGTTGGGATTTGACCCGTCGGGCCGTGGGGGGACCCGACACCAATGACCGTAGGCGAGCACAGCCGCGAAGATGATTGCGCATGCGAACCAAATGCCTTCAGCAGACCAGCGGACAGCCTCTGACGTGAGACCGACCTCCTCCAACAGAATTACAAGCACCAGCACGACGCCCAGGGCGTTTATAAAAATGGACCCAAATCTTGTCGCAGATTCAAAGCTATCAGCATATGGAGGGCCGAATAGGAACCCTCGCCAGGAGAACATGTCTGCCGCATCAAAGAAGCCCGAGCTACGTTTGGCATCGCGAGATCCAGAGGGAAGGGCTGCTTGCGCTGCTCTTGGGCCACCATCATGTTCATTAGGAAGGGTTTGCAGTTGATGTGCTGAGACACTGCTCAAGCATTGCAGGCACAAGGGCAATCACTAACATCAGCGACAAAAGCAGCCTTTAACCCTAAACCCTAAACCCTAAACCCTAAACCCTGCTGTGAGAATCGGTCCTGTCGACCGTGGCTCTCGTGGTTGTCGCGATCGTTGGCGTACCACGAGGGCATGCTTGCCCTTAAAGGCTTCACCCAACCAAAATTCTCATGTTTTGTTCAGAACCGCATCCCAATGTCAACCCAAACCCTAAACCCTAAACCCTAAACCCTAAACCCTGAACCTGCTTAAGCCCCGAGCCTTCAGCCGTCTACTCGCCAAAGCGCCCAGCAACAACTGCACACTTAAACATCCAAAGCCCTAAACCCTAAACCCTAATCCCTGTTAGCCCCAAGCCGACCGCCCGAATCGTCTGAAGCTCGAAACGCCCAAAGCCTGGATTAGGGTTTATAGGGTTTAGATGCTTTTCAAGGCGAACGCCATAAACCCTAAACTTCTGTCCAACAACCTTCGCCCACTCCCACTGAAGCTTCCTAAGTCCTGAACCTTGAAGCGTAGACCCTAAGTGAGCATCATGCGGAGCATGCCAAAAGGGGACCCTTTTGCAGTAGTCGGGGTGAGGATGAACAAAAAACTTGTCAAGTGAACCCTCAACCCCAAACTCGAAAACTTTAGCCCTAAACCCTAAACCCTAGATTGCTTGCAAAAAGTCAAAACCAAGGGCCAGTCTTGAGCTCCCGTTCTGCTCCCCCCCCGGGCACAATGAGAACAAAGGCTCTAATTCCTTTGTTTTCATTGTGCCCGGGGGGGAGCAGAACGGGAGCTCAAGACTGGCGCTTGGTTTTGACTTTTTGCAAGCAATCTAGGGTTTAGGGTTTATGGTCTAGGGCTTAGGGCTTAGGGTTTAGGGTTTCGGGCCAAGGCCATGCAGCCGAAAGCAAGCCTGCTGTGAAGGCCCAAGCGCTCTCGCAACCGGGACCCATCCGCAAACTGCCCAGCGTGCGCCAAAAGAGCTTACATGCCTCGAGCGCTGTCCAATCTGCTGAAGACTGCTGCTTCCGGAAATCTACGGAGTATGGCCCTAAACCCTAATACCCTGAACCCTAAACCCTAAACCCTAAACCCTATAAGCTCAGAACCCTCAAGCCCTTGAAGCTTCCACCAAAGCCCTGGACCCCCCAAAACCCCCTAAATCCCTTCAACCCTAAACCCTAAAACCCAAACACCAACCCCCAAACCCGAATCCGAACCCTAAACCCTAACCCTAAACCCTAAAACCTCAACCCTAAACCCTAAACCCTGAACCCTAAAACCTGAACCCTGAACGGACAAGTGCCTTGTCGAGTCGGAGCTGCAACTTCTTCCTTGGATTCTCAGGGTTTAGGGTTTCGGGTTTAGGGTTTAAGGCTTCGGGTGGGGTTTAGGGCTACATGGTCTCTTCACATGGCCCCTTACCTTCCTTAAAGGGCTCTGATGTCTAGGCTCTTGGGCTGTGTAGGGCGTAGAAGGGGTACAGAAGGGGCCCGTTTAAGGGCCCAACTGAAGGTAACTACCATAACTTGGCTGCACTTAGCAGGGTAGCTAAAAAGAAAATGTTCAGCTACCTTATTAAGAAACCCAAGAAACCCAAAAAGGCTTAAGGATCTAAAGTTACAGTAAAGCACCACAAAGCTACCATAAGATAGATGGGGTTCGGGCTGAGAGTTGAGAGTGTCGTTGCTTTGGTGGTGTGTCTCAGCTCCTTGCTGCGTGTTGTTGTTGGGCCGTCGGGAACCCTAAACCCTAAACCCTAAACCCTAAACCCTAAACCCTAAACCCTAAACCCTAAACCCTAAACCCTAAACCCTAAACCAGGTTTGTTCTTGGGGTCTAAGGGCGTTTTGCTGGGCTGCATTTTTTGGCGCTTTTGGGGTGTGCTAAGGTAAGGAGCCCTGAACTCTAAGACCCAAACCCAACCAACAACCCACGCCTGCAAAGTTTTAGGGCTTAGGGTTTTAGGGCTTCTTGGGGTTTAGGGTTTAGGGCTTCAGGGTTTTGGGTACCCTAAACCCTAAACCCTAAACCCTAAAACCTAAACCCTAAACCCTAAACCCTCAGATTTTAGGGTTTACGGTGTAGGGTTCGAAGTTCAGCTTCTTCCCTTGAGTTTGAAGGTTGTGGGGGTGTAAGGCTTCCGAGTCCCTAACATTCTAAGGGTAATTCCTCGGTTTAGGGTTTAGGGTTTAGGGTAGTTTCATGCTCCCGTAATATGGTCCCTTACCTTCTTCAAGGGGTTCTGAAGTACGGGCTCTTGGATTGGGTATAAGGTCCCCTGTTTAAGGGCCCAAAGTAAGGGACCATGAAACGACTCTTGGAAAAATCCAAACGAAAAGCCCTATAACGTTTGGCTCCTTCTTCAAGTGAGTTTGGGGCATTCCTCTTGTTTAATGCTGTTCAGGTTTAGGGTTTAGGGCGTTGGGCTTTGGCCTGTTCAGGATGCGTGCGTGGTCTCCGGGCTTTAGCTGTTTGGGGTTGTGGGGCTTCAGGGCTTTGCGGTTTAGTTTCTTCCTCAGACGGTTTTGGGTGTTCTTGATGATCTGAGGGTTTAGCTTCTTCTTTCGGGGTGGCGAATCAGTTTTGAGTGGGAACCAAGTTGACGACATCTTGCCAGCTGCTGCTTAAGCAAGCTTCCGACTGCTGCCCATGTTTCTGCAGCTCTTTGTTGCAGCTGCTGTTAAACCCGACACCGTAGAGTAAAGCGTAAACCCCTTGAACATCTAATCCCTGAGCCCGAAAGCAGATAGAGGCTGTGAAGGACAACAGCTCCAAGGCCTATGATCCTTGTTCAGAGGGTCTCTATCTCCAAGGGTCCCCCTAATCCTATCCCCGATATGATAGCAAAGCTTTGCTGCTATTGCTCGCATCTGCCAATTCTCTTTGAGGACTGATGCGCGCCTTTCCCTCAACCCTAAACCCTAGTTGCTTACTGCTAGGGCTGCTACGGAAGATTACACCCCCCCCCCCCCCCCACCCAACAGAAGAACGTCGCTCCACCCCCAGCCGCCCCCCTCACCTCAGCTCCTAAATCCTCAACTTCTGAACCCTAGCCTAAGCTTGATAGACCCCAAAACCCCACACCCCAAACCCTCAAGCCCCAAAACCCCAAACCCTAAACCCCAAACCCTAAACCCCACACCTCAAAAATCCCTAAACACAATTGTGGCGAGGTGCAGCACGCCATCAAGCCGGACGCCCAAGAACTGGAGGGATCCGGATGCCAAGCCGCCAAAGGGATGCCTTTTTGGGGGGGTGTTTAGGGGTTAGGGTTTAGGGTTTAGGGTTTCGGGTTGAGGATTTAGGGTTCAGAGTAATGGGTTTGGGTTTAGATGCGTTTTGGCGTTTTAGGGTTTGTGGGTTTAGGGCTTGAGGGTTTGGGTGTCTAGGGGTTGGGTTGGCATGTGGGGGTTTAGGGGTCTAAAGTTTGAGGGTTTGGGGTTGGGTTTGAGGCTTCGGGTTTGAGGGTTTGGGGTTTTAGGGTTTGAGGGGGTTTAGGGTTTTAGGTTTTGGCTTGAGGGCTTTTGCTTCAAAGGTTTAGGCTTTCAGGGTTTAGGGCGGGGGATTAGGGTTCGGGGTTTAGGGGTGCTGTGATATGGCGCATAAGCTGTGAAGGATGGGATGCAGACTGGCTTCAAAGCCTCGTAACATGCGAAAGGCAGCCTTGCCCTACATGGTAGCCAGTAACCACATTATGATAGGGGCACCCTTTTTTGGTTATTTCATAAGAGAAACCATGAACAAAAAAGGGTAAAGGGTACCACTGGGCTACCAAGCCCAATTGTGGAAGGCCATCTAACATGTTTATGCCACCCGACGCCATCTCTGGCGGCAAAACCGCCCGAACCTGTCCCTTCTAAGGTTTAGGCCTAAACTCAACGTCTTCCGTTGTCTAGGCTTGAACTACACCACGTTCAGGGTCTAGGCGGCAGGATATAGGATTTAGGGTTTACCCTAAGGGTCCATGTACCCATATAGTATATACTTGGGCCCTAAAGCTACTATATGGGAACCCCTTTAAGGCCCAAGTATATACCATATAGGTACTTGGACCCTTAGGGTTAGGATTGTAGGGTTTCAGGTTCCACGCTGGACATCCCAAAGGATACCTCGAAGCAAACTCTTGCGGCTGCGCCGCCCCACGCCCTGGGCCCGGCTGTGTTCCAGCGAGCTCGGGTCTGTTCCTGTCGTCAACTGAGGGGCTGAATATGCTAGCCAAACAAGGTTAACCTTCTACATAATAGTAGGAGTCTATATAATTAAAAGGTTAAAGGTTACCTACCCAGTTCCTGTCGTCAAAATTGAAAAAATAAAGAGTTTAGGGTCTTCAGGGGCAGGGGAACCACTACCAACACACAGCGCAAGCAATGTTCAGCCAGAAGATGAATGGAAAGCGAGAAGAACAGCTAAGGATTGCAAGGCTTATGTCTTTGCTTTGTTGCTGTTGCTGTTGTCCTTTTTTGGGCATTCGAGGTTTAGGGCTTTAAGGGTTAGGGCTTGAAAAAACAAGGGTTTCTAGGATTTTAAGGGTTTCTAGGGTTTTGGCCTTAGGGTTTTTAGGGTTTGGGAGGGCAGCATGTAGGGAGCTCTGCACTCCTTAGGGACTGGGCCCTGCTCAACTGCTCCTTACAAGACACCCCCAACCCCCCACCCCCCCCCCCACCCCCTCACCGCCACCTCTTCCGGTTTAGGGTTTAGGGTTTAAGGTTCAGGGTTTAGGGATTAGGGTTTATTAAGGTTCAGGGATAAGGGTTGATACCCTGCACCCTTGATTTGGTGCCATTTTCAAGGCTGGAGATTTAGGGCAACAAGGGCGGTTTGGCTAGGGGGCCCGGGATCGATCTTCTCTA